TTGTAAGTAATCTTATAAAATGCATTATGGAATAAACATTCTTGGTAAGTATTGGTCTACAACAATGAAATTTTAAAAGAAATCAAGTTTGTTTTCTTCATCTTCTATTTCCCACAATTTATCATCTTGTTTCAGTTCCCTAAGTTGTGCAGAGGACATTGTTTGTTTTGGCAGGATGTACCACTGCTTGAGATTTAAGATTCTCTCATCTCAATCTTAATGTTCACCAGGATTTGTATAGAGAGAATTCTGGGAGGCACTTTTTTAAGTCTAGAACCTGGAGTACAATGTTGGTGGCACTGTTCATTGTCCTTTATTAAGTTTAGTTTTAAAAATAGGATAACATGAACAAATTTAACCTCCATTTTCTCTCTCTGTCATTCTTCTTTCCTTTCTCCATCATTTCTTTCTTTTATTGAATTTCAAATTTCAAAGGAACTCTAAGTTCTTTTGGTTGTGATTTTTTGGAACATAATTCATCACTTCCATAGTATTGTTAATCTTAGACAGCTTTCCTAATATTCTGCAAAACAAACTGATTTAAATTTTGTGAATTTTAAACCAAAATTGTCATTAGAGTACCCAAGAGATATATGTTTGAGTACTGTAAGATAATATCATTCAGTGATTGCTCACACTCCCCATGTTGTTATTTTTGCCTGTTGATTGACACCAGCTAGTCACACACACTGCCCATGCATTTTCTAAGATATTTGCTAACTGCTTTGCATAGGTTCCTCCAACTCAGTCCATCCACCTTGAATTTATAAACCAAGCCATTTCAGTGAGAACTGACAGGCAGGGGGATCAAGATGGTGTCACATACCCAGGTTCTCCTGTGCCTGCTGCTCTGGGTGTTTGGTGAGGAATTCAAAAGTATTATAATCTTTTTAGAGTCATTTCTTTGTATATAAGATATTTACAATATGTGTCATGATAGAATTTGTCTTACACAATAATATTCTGACAATATGTGATATGATATTACAAAGATATTAAATTCAATTTTTTCATAGTACACATCATCATTTTTATTGCTGATTGCAGGAGCCTGTGCAGATATTGTGATGACCCAGTCTCCATCCTCCATAGCTGTGTCAGCAGGAGAGAAGGTCACCATCAGCTGCAAGTCCAGTCAGAGTCTCAGCAATAACTACTTGTCTTGGTACCAGCAGAAACCAGGGCAGGCTCCCAAACTACTGATCTATGATGCATCCACTCGGCACACTGGGGTTCCTGATCGCTTCACAGGCAGTGGATCTGGGACAGATTTCACTCTCACCATCAACAGTGTCCAGGCTGAAGACCTGGCAAATTACTACTGTATGCAGCATTGTAATGTTCCTCCCACAGTGCTTCAGCCTCCAACAAAAACCTCTCTGACATTTTCACCAGCTGGCTGCACCACACAGCCCTGGACCTGCATATGTCTCCCTGCTGACTGAGACTGATGTGTTCAAACAGTGGTGAAAAAGAATTCAGTGTTATCTTTCCAGTCCTTCTGTAATACATTACCACAAGCCCTGCTGCTCGGATATGAGTTTATTTTTATAGTTCTGGAAATTCAGTGTCCAACATAAAACACTACGGACAGTAGTAATGATGATAATAGCAGTTTGGAAACTAGAAAAAAATGTTTATGTTCTTTTACTGAATTCTGTGGTGCTTTCTTATTTCCTTTCTGGTGTACATTTCTTCTGTTTTTTTTCTTTACCTTTCCATAAATTATTTACTTTTTATTACATTTTAGTTAATTAAGTAGTCTTTCTGTGTGCTTGTGAGAGTGTGTTTGTTTGTCTGTGTGTATGTGTGGGCATATTTCTAGGTACACATTTGACATGGCAGAGTGTGGACACCAGAGAACACTTGAACTATATTGATTGCTTGTCATTTGGGTCTGGGGATCAAAGTCAGCTATGACATCAGGCTTGTTGGCAGGTATCTTTGCCCTCTGATCAATCTTTCTGCCCCTTAAAATCTTTAATTGAAGTAAATTTATTGTACTCAAATTGTACTGATTTCCAAAGAGGCTGTAAAAATTTGCATTCACATCTGCATTGCAATGGAGGAGTGTTACTCATACTCCATATCCTCTGCAACATGAGCTATCATTGGTGTTTTTGAGCTTAGCCATTCTGACAAGTGTAAGATGGTATCTCAGAGTCATTTTGATTTCCATTTCCCTGATGACTAATGATATTGATCAATTCCTTAAGTGTCTTTCGGCCATTTGCTATTACTCTGTTGAAAATTCTCTGTTTGGATGTTTATCCCATTTGCTAATTGGATTATTTGGTATTTTTATGTCTGGTTTCATGAGATCTGTATTTTGGAGATTAATGCTCTGTCTGATATGGGATTAGCTATTGTTTTGTCTTAATGACTTTTTCCATTGCTTTATAGGATCTCCTCATATACAGAAGTTCTCATTTATTAATTGTTTTTCTCAGTGTCTGTGCTACTGGTGTTATATTTAAGAAGTGGTCTCTGGTGCCCATGAAGTCAAGGCTACTTCCCACTTCTTTTTTATGCAGTTCAGTTGAAGTATTTGATCTATTTGGACTTGATTTTGTGCATGCAGATAGATATGGGTCTACTTTGCATTCTTTTGCATGCTGACATCCAGTTATGTCGGCACCATTTATTGAGGATGCTTCCTTTTTCTGTTGTCTAATTTTAGCTTCTTTGTTAAGAATCAGGTGTTCAGGCATATGTGGGTTAATATCACAGAATTCAATTTGATTCTATTAGTCAACCCATTTGTTTTTATGAGAGTACCAACGTATTTTCATTACTATGGCCCTATAATAAAACTTGGAATGAAAAATGTGTTGCCTCTAGAAGTTACTTTATTGTACATGGGATTTTTACTCAATTTTCTTATAAGTAGGATTTTTTCCCAGTAAATCATATGCATTTACTCTACCCACAAATCTTCCTCATTTCTTCTTCCCTCTCCTGTTATCTCTTCTTCCCTTAGTTTCTCTTCTATATTTATCACTCAGTCTCTCATACATATACATTCACACATGCCTTTACCTCCTGCCACTCATACCTATATACACCCACAAACACATATACATATAGATAGACATGTATACAGAGTATATTTACACATATTAGCACAAGACACTCATGCTTTCATGCAGACATATTTAGAATCTGAAAAGGAGGGAAATTATGATATATATTGTCTTTGATTCTGGGACCACATCTCTTTCAGAAATTTCTCTATCTAATTTTTGACTGTGGAGACTGATATCATTCTATTCACCCTAATGGTTGATATAACTTTGTGTCAACAGATGTTCCCTTCCAGTCTCATATAAGTAAATAGAATTTAGTGGGTTTTTTGGGGGGGTATATTTTGTTCCTGTTAACCATATAAATAACTAATCATGTCCATATTTTCATTAAGAAACATTGAATATGTAATTTGATGATCTGGCAGGGAACAAATGCTTCAGACTACAAAAAGTTTCTGGAGATCTTCACATTCCTTAGGGCTGCATAGTTCTCTGAATATTCTGGGTGGTGAACCCTTGAGTGTAGAATTTGAAGTTTACTAAAGCCTCACATCAATCTAAGAGGTACTTAAACCAACAGGTATGAATCATACACAGAAATTATCAAAAATCAAGTAAAATTGATGTCCCAAGGGATAATCATTCACTGAAGGATTACAATCAAAGATCTGAAAAAAGATAAAAGATTGTGTGAAGATTTTAAAAATGTACTAATAAAATGATCAATTACAACAAAAGATAAAAACTAAAGAATTCATTCAGACAAGGATGTAGGGAGGAAGGCTGGTGACATGTAGGCAAACTTAAGATGGAGAAAACCATCAGCAACTTGGTTAAATAACTGAGCAAGGGAAATATTACATTGAAATGTTAAATTAAAATAATACAACACTCAGTGAAGACACACTAGCCTACTCAAGCATGACTCATGTAAGCCTTCCCTTTCTCCCCAATTTTCTGTATTGCTAACAACCCATTAGTTTACATCCTGAAATTCTTCACCAAAGTCTATTTACTTATGTGACTAATTCCTTCTCCTGAGACTGACTTCTAAAGTACATCTATCAGAATATCAAAAGCCAGCAATTAAAATCCTCCATTGATTTTCCTAATTAGCATTTCTAAATAAGATTAAGCACCTCATCCTAACACCAGGTTTCTACCTTATAAACTACAATTTTATTATGTTCTATGTCTGTCTCTTTATTGATCTGCAGTCCTTTTTCTCTCTCAGACATCATGAGAAAATGATCAAGAACCACAAACACAAGCATGAACAGCAGAATACAAGAGATGGAAGAAAGAATCTCAAGCACAGATGATACAATAGAGGAAATAGACTCATCA